TTTGATCAAGGCCACTGGACGCTTTATTGCAATAGTCAACTTTCCTAAATCTTCCCTGTTGTCTTCAAAGAAACAACAGCTCAAAGGAATTTGGAGAGTTAACACTGGCCGCTTTTGCTATAAGATTTCTTTAGAACGGAAACAGAGTTTGGGGGATTAATCACATTTAGGAGTTAACTGAATCCCGTTTGCCAAACTCTTGGTGAAAGCTTTCCCAGAATTCCAAGGTCGGGCATGGTTACCGTGGCCTTCCCTGGAGAAGATATTCTATTTCCAGACTCTATTCCTGGTTTTAGGATTAGCACAAGTTTTAAAAGTAATCGAATTTGGTCTAGACAGCAGATTTCACTGGTTGCTAAGGAACAGGATTAGTGCTAATCTGAAGAATGTATCCTTCATTTTTATTTCCGTTTGTTACTACTTTAATTACAGATAAATGTCTTTTAGGGCTCTCGGGGGTGTAAAACATTTCTCTCTTAGCTAGTGGGTCAGCCAGGGTGACAGTACCTGTACGTACCCCCCAAGCAGACGGCATTCGGACAGAAAGTGGCTGGAAAGAAGAAAATGGCCTGAACAGTCGCTGGCCGGGCAGGCTCGGCCGCGGCCCGGCGCTGGGGCCAGACCAGCAGCCGTGGCCGTGGTGCTGCCCTCACTCCCGCCTCCCGACCCCCTCTTCCAGTCACAGATGCTGTCACCTCGCGCCCTGCTGCACGGTCGCCAGGCAGTCAGTTCTCCAGATAGAAGACTGGTTGTCAAACCCCAGAAATTCATTTTCCATCGGACATCCAGAGCGAGCTTTTTGAAAAGCTCTGAGAGCCTGGTCACGCCAGCCTGACCTGCCCTCTCCCAGGCCACGCGGCTTGACACCTCGGTGCTTCCCAGGGCCTTGAAGACGGGAGTCAAGCCCTCGCGGGGCAGTCACCTCTGCAAGCGCACGGACACCACGGGGCCCTTCTGTCCCTTTGGAGGGTGGCCTTACAGGTGCTTGCACTGCCTGCCTGAAGCCCCTCCCTGCCCTCAGCTGGGCAACGCAGGTGCTCGGGTGCGGTGTCCCTTAGCTGGGCGCGCCCCCCAGGTCCTCATCAAAGCCGCACCGCCCTTCTCAGCACTGGCAGCCTGGAGGCTTACGTTTATTTGCATGTGTTTGATTAAGGTCTGCTTCTCCGGCGCGTCTGCAGGGTGCCTGGGAGACTCTAGTTCCGTAATCAGGGTGTCCCCGACCCCCGGCCCCGCACACCGCCGGCGCTCCGGGAGCCAGGGCTGAAAGCAGGGTCCCTCGAGCGTGAAACCCCCCGCGTGCCAGGCCTCGGCTGCTGTGGACAGTCCCCGGGAGCCATGACGTCTCAGCCAAGGCACCACCGAGCCTGAGTAGGGCCACGGCCGCCACGTGCCAGACGCTGCCTGCCACAATGACGCCCGTGAAGTCGGACCAGTTGACGCTTTGTGAAAAATAACACCAAAAGCAAAGCAACAAGTGGCGTGTGGGTGCGGGAGCCCAGAGTGATGGGAGGTGCCCCCCACCCCCTGGGGGGGCACGTTGGAGGGGTGATTCTGCTGACAGCGCGGGGCCCTGACTATGCACCAGGCTGCGCTGGTGTCTGCAAACGGTTTCTCCTTGAATCTTCTCAACGGACCTGTTTCTAGCCTCCTTTCACTGACGAAGAAACAGACTCCGAGCTGTCAAGTAGTTTGCCCAAGCTCACACAGCCAGCAGCGGTGCAGAGTCTGCACCCCCTCTTCTCCCAGAGACACCCTTGGCGGGCAGCCTGGGAACTCTGCGTTCACAGACGTAACACTGTCTGTTCATAGGGGAGCAGTTAGCGAGTCTAGTGCTTTGAGTTTGAATTAAGATCTAACCAAAAGTAGCTAACTAGGCCGCCTTTAGCTTCTTTTCGTCTTTCCATTTTGCATTTTGACCCGTTTCTGAGATACAGGTTGATTGTCCGTCCGTCTCCCGGGTTCGTGAACGTTCAGTGGCTCGTCCTCTGTCTGCAGAGAAGAACGGGACAGACCGCCGAGGCTGGTGCCCGAGGCCCGGCGAAGCGTCCTGGGCTCTGTCACCTCTCATCCCGCACTGCGTCCTTCAGCGAGGACGCCCGGGCAGTGTGCAGGCCGAGGGCTTGAAATGCGATCCTCCCACCTGGAAGTCCTGCCCATCCATCAAAGCCAGGTCGACCCGAGGGACAAATCGTCCACAGAATGACAATGAATGTGACTTATTTTTTAAATAGACTCAGCGACGTCTGGGAGGAAAGGTTAATTGGGAAGGTCTCGGCCTTGTGTAAACACGTGATCGCTTTTCAGTGGTAGATTCAAATTCCATTTCAAATTAGGAGAGAATGTTTAATATCACCTCAAGTGACTTTTTTTCTCGGCAGCTCTAACTGTACCGGAAGGCCTTTGGGCAGCTTTCTCAAAGTGCGACAAACTCTACTTCGCGTATCGTCTCTTCGTGTTTAATTATAAGGATTTGCATTTGTAACACCAATTAATCAGTAATTAGATAGCACTGTACCAAAAGAAATTAAGCAAAGATTAAAAACAAAAACAAAAACACAAGGCCGTGCGATCCAGTAACATTTCATACGGCGCGATAAGCACACTCTGAGAAGCGCGGGTTAACGGAGCCGTGGGCAGGGCGGTCCTTTGCTCTTGGTCGCTGTCGTGTTGTGTGGTGGTGTCATCAGTGACCGCAGTGCCCAAGGGAAGCCTGAAGGCAATCCCAACACAAAACACTCCGATGATGCGGACATTTGTCCCTCTGTCCACGCTGGCTGCTGGAATCTGCTGCATGACAGTAATTATATCGAAATGCAGTGGCAGACTTTGGCAGAAAGAAAAAAAACACCGCATATTTTATAATGATACATTCTCTGTTGATCTTCCTATTTTAAAAAGACACATCCATCATCTTTTGAGTTAATTGTCCATTAGACCTCTAAAACAAACTTTAGATGTGAAAAATCAGAAAAGCCACAAAGCAGATGGAGAAAGGAAAAATAAAAGTCCCCGAAACCAAGACATGGAAGAGGAAAAGGCGTCCACGTAGAGGTCGGGGCGGAGGGCAGGGGACCTTCTCTCTGCAGTCGTGATGTTTTCCCGCCCCGAGCTCCAGGGCCTCTTACCTGAATTCTTACTCCTCCTGTTAATAAGAGAAAAGGCGAAGCCTTGGCCGTTGGGAAGAGCAGTCTTGGGAGAGATGACAGAGTGGCCCCCTGCCGTGCCCCACCCTGGCACGGAGCGAGCCTGACTGCGAGGCCCCGCAGGGCGGCCAGCGGGAGGAGCCTCAGGGTCTACACAGCAGTCTACACAGCAAGCCCTTCTCCTCCGAGGCCCCCTCGTTACTCCGTTCCCCTGTGACGTGACTACGTGGGGTGACGACCACAACACTCAAAATGACGCGAAGGTGCTTAGAGCTGTCCCCTGGTGCTGTTGCAGGAGGCTTCATTTCCGTAGGGAACCGGCATCACCTTGACTGCCAGGGTACGAGGTTCGGGCAAATTTTGGATGTTGTAAAATTCTGTAAAGTCTTCTAACGGTGTGCCAAATGACGGAGCGGCTTTTTCCCTGGTACGTGAGGTCGTCTTGAGAACGTCTGCGGAGCGAATTTCACTGTGTCCTCTCAAGCTTGCGTTCGAGGAGCACGTTTAATTGCCAGTCTCTGAAGAAAAGGGATTTGTCTTTCAATGGGACGGTTTTCCAAGGAGTATGAGGTACTTTGAGAAGAACTACAGGAGGAAATTTCAAAAAGTCTCATCTTTCGGGGACCTTGGATGGGAAGAGTAAGCTTTGCTTAGTAATTATAGCATCGTGGAGGTTGCTAGAGAGCCAAATTTAATCATTTTTATGACTTCATCGTGAAGTTAATTGAGCAGCACCCCCCAAATTTGGAAAAAAATTGATTTTTCTCCAGTTTAAGAATCTCTTTTCCCACTGAGTTGTGAAACAGTGCTCTGAAGTTTCTATCTCTACGATTCTGTTGCTTTTACAAATTACGCAGCACACCTGTTGGTGAGAGCCGCCTTGGTCAATGTGACGGTCTATTTGTCAATATGCTTATTAATCCTCTGTTGAGCTTCTCCCACGGTTCCCCAATCTGGAACGTCCATCTCTCAGGGGGAGGTGCAATTTATCTGATGTCAGCGTACTGCATACATTTTGTGTCTCTTTATTAACTCTGTTACTGAAACAAGCTCAAACCCTTCTCTCCTGCCTGGCCTCCCGCTTCTATCCGCCTTCCCTACAATCCATTCTCCATATAGCAACTCAGGTGATTATTTTAAAAATACGAATCCTGTGACATCACCAGGCCTGCTTATGTCCTTCCGGCAACTTCCTGTTCCACTTAGAATAACACTGGACGCCTCCCGTGGCCCTAGGACCCCACGTGACCAGCTCTGCACCCTTCCCCCCTTCTCACACTAATGGGGTCACTCTGCAAACATCCTGCCTCACTGCTGCTCCCTTGTCTGTACCCGCTGTCCCTTCTGCCTTCCCCGCCCCCTCACGGCCGCTTCTCTGCCCCCTTCACACATCACCTCAGCTGTCACCTCCTCAGAGAAGCCTTTCCTGACCACCTCAGTGCGGCCGCCCGTAGCCACTGTCGGGTTGGTCCGTTTACGCCCCACATCGCACGCGTCACTGTCAGAAATCATTCCGTTCCTCGTTCGTTTCCTGATGACTGTGCTCGTCCCTACCAGCCCCGTCTGCTGCTCCCCACCTGCCACCACACCGCGAACAGCGTCTCGCACTCTCAGTGAACGCTCGTTAGATAGATGACCGACGAATGACTCGTCTCTCCCTTAGGCCACAGAGTTCTGACCGGATCACTTCACCCCGAACTTCGGCTTCATTATCGCTATGATACAACTAGCAAAACCTTGGGTCTTCGAAGGGGAAGAGTTCCAGGAGGAAACACGTGTGGTAGCACGTGGCACACGGCATGGCCGCTGGTCAGGGCGGGGCGAGCCCAGTTAACGGTGTCCCTCCCTGTTTTCCAGGAAATCCTCAGAGGAACTGGACATGGACAAAGTGACAGCAGCAATGGTACTAACCAGCTTGTCCACCAGCCCTTTGGTTCGAAGCCCTCCTGTGCGGCCCAGTGGTAAGTCTGGGGTCTGGGGCCTGGGGCAGGGCCCCTGACACCGAGAGCACAGCTGCCTTTGAGGGGCCTCATTCCTGCCCGACACGATGAAAAATTAACCCTCAGCATGAGCAGGAAGCAGCGGGAAATGTGAACAAAATGGAGACCTCAGAGCCATCAGCTTTCTCCTCATATTTCCAGAGACCCCACTACACCTCATCCATCCATCCGTCCATCCATGCATCCATCTATGCATGCATGCATGCATCCATCTGTCTGCCCATCCATCGTCCGTCCATGCACGCATGCATCCATCCATCCTCCCTCCCATCCATCCATCCATCCATCCATCATCCATCCCATGCACATGAATTGAACCCCATCACCTTTCCAGAACACATCTTTGCAGTAATTATGCTCCTTTTTCCCCAGGTAAATGGAGATTGGTCTAATGAAGTTGTTTTCCCCGGCAATTATTTCTGATTGATTGGAGAAGTAGTTAGATCAAAGAACTCTGAAGATTAAGTGTTCTGAAAAAGCATTATCCCAGACTCCTTAATCGAATGGAATTATTTAGTTGATTCATTCACTCAGCATGTATTTATTAGGTGCTATGCTGGATGCTGTGAGTGCATCATTGAAAACTGTGTCCGTTCTTCTAAGCAGAGTTGCATCTCTCTGAGGGAAAAAAAGACTGTCAATCATAGCCGTGTTAATGGCTAGCATTTCCTGAGCACTTGCTATGTGCAAAGTGCTTGGCTTGCTTTATCTCGTGTAATTCTCACAGCTCTATGAGATGTCATTGCCACTATTTACAGATAAGTAAACTGAGGCACGTGGGGATTCATTGACTTGTAAATAGCAGAGCTGAAATTCTCTTCCGTGGCTTTCTGATTTCAGAGTTGCTGTCTTAGTTATGGCATAGGGTGGACTCATAGAAATCAGTATGATAAATGAGGAGGGCAGTAAGACATGACGTTGGAGGCCCTGGCAGGTGATCTATCACGAGGGGTCATGTATGTCTAGCTAGGAGTTTAGACATTGTCCTGAGGCTACAGGACAGTTATTGAGTGATTTTGGCACTAGAAAGTTACAGTTGGGTTTATAGGCAGAACCAAAAAAAGAAACAACCAAAACAAAACCAAACCAAAAAAGAAACAACCAAAACAAAACCAAACCACGTGGGTGTCCCGCGCCTTGGTGGTCAGAGGGGAATGACTAAGACTTAACTGAGAAATGCGAGGAAGGTGGAAGCAGCAGGACTGGGCGATGGACGGAGAGGATGACGCGGAGGGTGTGACCAGGGTGACCGCCGGGCAGTTGGTTGCTTCGGCAAGGAGGCCCTTTCCCTGAGACGGGGAACAAAGGCAGAAGGACATATTCGCTGGCGAATGTCTGGAGCAAGAGGTGCAGTCGCTGAAGAAGACAGGGGGTCCAGGCGGAAGCAGGACTGGTAGGCAGCGCCTGAGGTTCACGCCAGGGACACGGTGTGGCAGAGACGGGGGGGCCGCGGGGGAGAGAGGGCGGGGCTGCTGATGCCGAATCGGAAGGCGACATGTCGAAGCCGTGAGAGCAGGTGCGATCAGGCCGAGAGAATCGTGGAGAGGCAGAGGGTGAAGAGAAGGGGGCCGAGCGGGGAGGGGCTGCGGCGCTCGCCACCACGCGAGGACTCTGCAGAGGGGAGAGAACCCAGGCAGAGCCTGCCAGCTGACCGGAGGCATAGCGGAGAGCTAGGGCAGTGTGGTTGCGTGGACGCCAAGGGCAAAGCGTGTTTTAAAGGGAGCCGTCGGATGCTTCAGAACCTCAGGCGTGGGACAGACCGGATTCCGCATCAAGAGGAAGGTCACCGGAGCTCGGGCAGGACCGCCGTGGGCAGGCGCCAGAGTGCAGTTCGCTGACATGTCATGCGCTGAGGCCACTCACCGGCAAGGGAGAACCTCCTCTCGAAAGCCAGCCTGGGCAGTTACGAGACCAAGCTGTGCTTCCCACGGTTTGGTCGTAAGCGTGAGGGGTTCAGTGTGTTGCATTCAGTGAGTCCTCCCCAAAACGTGCTCCACTCGGCTGTCAGGGAGGAGAAGGATCGCGAGGCTGGGGACTCGGCTCAGTACGGCCAGTTCCTAGCGCCACCATCACGATCACCGCAGGCAGGTGATGGCGCCTCGATGCGGGGTGGACAAGGCGCTCTCGAGATGGGCCTGGCCATGCCTGTGGAACGACCGGACCCCTTCCCTGGGGACCTCTTTAGCAGGCACCCCTATTTACCTTTCTCGGTATGGCAATACCACTCAAGGAAGATAGCTGTACAAGCGAAACCGAAGGCACCCCAAAACCAATCCTAGAAACAAGGAACCGCAGAATTTCATGGAATCCTCAGAGGAGAAAGAAGATATTTTAATGCAATGATGCTTTTTACCGTGGCATTCTTCTTTAGTTGAGAATGTTTTTAAAGCTCCTTTCTCTTGAAAGGTTAGAACCAAAATAAACCTTTTGCTTCTTCAATGCAAACAGTCGTTTAAAGAGAGTAATTTAGTGTTCATTGTGATTTAAAAAATAACTACCCAACTAGTAATCCCAAATTGTCTGATACCTCATTAAGTTTGAAAGGAAGCAAATTCTTAAGAAGGAAAAGAAGTTTATGATAATAAAGGCTTTTTTTTTTTTTTTTTTTTTAGAAATTTTTGGAAACTGTCCTGACCCTTTTCTGTGCCAGCTTTGTCAGGCTGGAGGTCTGCAAATACAGTGAGCTTCTAGAGGTGCCTGTCTGCATTTTTGGCAAACACTCGTTTAAGTTAAAGAGACACTGCCCTCTAAAAACATCATGAATTGTTTCTGACCGTGTTCTGAAAAATTCATTTCTATATCACATCGTCCTTCTGATGAAATAATATCCCTTAAAGGGACCGTCATTCCCAAGAAAGCAAATTAACTTCCGGCATTGACATGAAGCAGTGGAAGCATAGTGTAATAACGGTCGCGTCTCAAAATAAACTCGGTTCCTCACACTTAACGTGATCGCACACCTTGCACCATGGACTTATTTTATTCCACAAGTGTACGCGGCAGAATGTTCGCAAGCCTCCCGAGCCTGCCCAGGAGTTCGTCACACCCGGTGATATTACCGAAGGCCGTACATCAGGCTCCTCTTGCAGTCACGCTCTGTGGAATGGGGTTTTCTTATTCATAATAGACGACCGGGGTCCAGTGAGCGCGTCCTTTGTGTGCACACCGCAGGGAGTGCGATGCTAATTTGGTTTCATCGAGGCCCCAAGGGCACGGTCCAGCAGAAATGACCTCGCGATTCCGTGAGAGCCTCGCTTTCAGAAAATGGGTGCCTTCCCTCCACTGTTTCATCTGAAAACCTCATTCCTCTAATAGAACTTTTTGTTTGACATAGTCAAGGAATATGCTGGAAATCTATAATGAGGCGATGGTTGTCAAGACCTTTGTCCACGAATGCTACTCTACTGTGGGTCTTCACTTCATCGCTCATTATACAGATGTTAACAGCATTTTTTTAATGAGGCATTTTGGGATTCCACCCCCCCCCCTTGTACTTAGAATATAGTTTTAATATATTCAAAATGCACATAAATATGAAGGAGAAATTATCCCCAAAGAAAGTCGAATTTATACAAAAGCTAATTAAGAGTAGGCGTTTTGCAAGGTAAAGCAGATCTTCAGTGATTCAAAGAACCTCTCAGAGACATTCTAACTGGGCAAAGATCTCTCTGTATTAGCCAGCATTTCATGTCTCCCCCACGAGTGGAAAGGCAAAATTCAACAGCAATCTCATCAGTAATTATTACCAATAAATTCTTCTCTGAGCTCAGCTTTGCTGGAGAGAGGAGGGTGCTCACGACACAGGGTCCACGGGCCAAGTGGTCGGCCGGGGTTCGGCACCGCCAGCCCAAGTACCAGTCAGGGCAGGTCACTCAACCCCCTCGTGCCTCGGGGCCCTTGTCTGTAAAGCGGGCATGAGACGCTGTGAATGAGCTTCGTAAGATGACACGCACCACATGTCAGGTGCTAGTTTCTGTGGTCATAAGGTCAGTGGGATCAGGTAACGCTCCAGAAATGATTGTTTCTCTTAGATCCTTAGATCCCGGACCACCTTTTCCTGTAAATGTATTCCAAAGGTCACGCACCTATGAGAAATTCCTCTTTGAAAGCGAAATTGGGGGCGGGAGAAGACCACAGGTGATGTCCCTGTGACGAGGGCCGAGGCTCCCACCGCCTCAGGGCTCCGGCCGGCGTGCACACCGCCCCCTGGTTCCACACCGTCTCCGCTGCCGGCCTGAGGACCGGGGACGCGGTGGAGGTGGCTCTGTGTCTGTAGCCCGCAGTGCGGCGCGGTTTGGGGTCCGGACGGCGCCCCGGCGGGTGGGGGCCCGGCGCGCAGGCCTTCCTGACGCTGTGTCTGTCCGTCTGTCCCTCTCTCTGTCCGTCTGTCCGTCTGGCCGGCCGCGCAGAGGGCCTCAGCGGCTCCTGGAAGGAGGGCGGCGCCGCGTCCGGCAGCTGCAGCAGCGGCGGCTACTGGAGCTGGAGCGCGCCCAGCGACCAGTCCAGCCCGTCCACGCCGTCGCCACCGCTGTCCGCCGACAGCGCCAAGCCCTTCCGCAGCCCCGCGCCCGACGACGGCATCGACGAGGCCGAGGCCAGCAGCC